TTGGAAGTAAGTTTGCAACACTTTGGAAATCAGGATGTCTGAATATTGAAAAAAAAATAATAGTAAAAACACAGTTAGTATAAGCTGAGAGGATTTTTGCAGTTGCCTTGAAAGGTGCATTTAAGAAAATTCTAGCTTAGAAGGGCCATTTTCTGCCTCTTTTTGGAAATTTCAAAAGGGGTTACATCATTGAAAAAGTGACGAAAAATCAAAAAATTAAAAACCAAGTTTGAAAACACAGATTTTTAGAGAATTTAACCACAATCATATAGAAGTATGCCACTTTGAAATCGGATGTCTGCAAGAAAAGTTATAGGCTTGGAAGTGCATTTTCAGGTCACTTTTCTCGAAAGCTTATAAATTAATACAAAAAATCGACCAAAAATTTAAAACCAAGTTATGAATACAAATTTTTATGAAATTAAACCACAAGATTTTGAATTTTTTGAAACCTAATGCTAATTTAAAAGCTTAATTAACAAACGATCTTAGAGGAAAAATTCTCTTTAAAACTAGGTACAAATAAGGACAACTAGTATGTTAAATACATTTTTATTAAAATTATAAATTTGAATTTTCCAGGAGTGTTGGCACCTATTTGGAGTCTAAAATAAAATAAGGAAATGTAAATAAGATCCCGTGACTAGAATCCTTGGTCGACTTGAGCCTGCGAAAGGGTTCGAGGTGGTGGTGTGTTTAGTGGGCCACGGGGGGTGAGACAGGTTCTTATCGTAATGCCCACCTTGGCAGTGCCATCAGTCTGCTCCGGCGAGGAATGTTTACATAAATTCATAAAATTATTGCCATAATCAACATTATGCATTTGGAAACAAACAAAAAACCAGAAACCGCAAAAGAGTTTTCCACCCACGGGGGTGGAAAGTGTACTGTGTTGGGATATGCAGCTTCAGCTTCAGCTTCTCGTAATTATGCTCGCTTGATTTGCCAGCAACATTTTCTTTTTAATTATTTATATTTGGGGATTTTTAGGCAGTAGGCAGTAGGTAGTAGGTAGTAGGCAGTAGGCAGTCAGGCAAAGCGATTCAAAGGCCTTCCAGGTTTTCCCCTTGCCTCGTATGTTAGGGATGGTATTTGCATACATCAGATTGCCTGACTGACTGACTGACTGACTGACTGACAATATCTTTTTATGCTTTGGCAGCCAGCAACCCCTCCGAACCACCCCGCACCATCCATTGGCTCGCTTTTTTGGGCATGTGTTTTATTAGGCATGTTAATTAAAAGACATGAAATGAAAATAATTAAAAATATGTATAAAAAACACACATACGCAGTCATTCACATCTGCATACGTACGATATGTGTAGAGCCCACACACAGATGCATAAACACTTTTATAGAGAATGTGGTATCTATGGACACACACGATATGGCTGTCGAACAGGTTCTATTACTTTATGGACCAGATTTCCATTGAAAATGTGGATCTATGATTTCGATTGGGTATATTAGGCTGGATGGAATGCATATGACTTCTACTTCCTTTTAGAAAATTAAAAACCTTGAGTAACAGTGAAAATGCATTTAAAGCAAATAGTTAACCCATTTTTAAATTATGTTAAACAAAACTATATTAAAAATTACTTGAAATAAATACTTACAACATGTGTTCATAATTCAAAATTTGTAGTATCCTCAATATATACTTTTGATTTAGAGAGAAGGGTATCACTTAATTTCATAACACCATTTCCTTTTATACTTCATATGTTACCATGTGCAAATTACCTTTAACACGCTTCTTCATTAGCGTTAAGTTAAATGATTTATGAACAGCAGAAAAATGTTTGATTTCTGAAAGGGTTACCAAAAGAGAGGAAGATAGGGCGATCATCCTTGGAGGCACACCAATTTTCCGGGCCACTCTGCGCCAGATCGCCTTATTAACTCATTGCTGTGGTGTCAATTTACACGACAACGGCACCAAAACAGAACAAAACAAAGGCTAAAATATGGCAACATTACTTGCCACCACCACCACCACCACCCAATCCCCAACCACTTTTCGCTCCTTTGTCTCAAATTTCCAAATTTTTGGGGGGAAGGAAAAAAGCTCCCCCAATCCAACGATTCCCAATTGCCGGCTTCTTAAGTGTTGCTAATAACGCCTACAACTAAAAACAGCTGCGGGGTCAAAAATACTCCATGGGTGCGTTGGGGGAGGGGGGGGGGGTGCCATGGTTGAGCGACACTTTTAAGAAATTGCAAAGTTTTCGTAACAAAGGCAAGTTGAACAATACTTTGATGCGATTTTGCGGATATTAGGTGTTAATTTTTCAAAGAGCCAACGACATTGTACGCCATCCAGCTCCCTTTCCTTCGGTGTCTTAAGACCCCCATACCATTTTATTAGCCCTCAACCCACCCCCCCTTAATTTTTCGTTGCCATTGCCATGGCACTCTGCCTTTTGTAATTTTAACTGCTTTTGGTTAACACTTTTACGCATTGCCAACTGTGGTGGCGCAGCTCCAACTCCCCTCCATTGTGCCCCCTTCACACCATCGATATCACATGGCAGCAGCACTCGTAACCCCTTTGTCTTTCTGCCAGCAAGTCATCGATGGGAAAACTTTTGACAACTTTTTCTTGGCTAGCTTTTTTGTGTAATTTAATTGCCCCCAAAGGGGGGATTGAATGGTGGCTGGGTGTTTTTGGTGCTAAAACAAGCGCTGAGTTACTGTTCTAAGCGGTGTGTGTGTGTGTGGGAGGGGGAGGGGGGTGCCATTTATTGAGCATTTTAGCCTTTCATCGATGCTTTCAGCTGAAATTATTTTGCTCATTTTAATTATTATAACCGCCAAGTACAGCCCAGCAACAACAATGGAACAATGCCTTCAGAAAAACACAAATTTTAACGGTTATGCCACGGCGAAAAAGGGTCGACCAAACAAGAGGGGTCCTTTGGCCCCTTCTTGTGGTCGTTGTTGTTGCTGATTGGGGGGCGATCGTTTAGTGGGCGGGGCCATTTTGTGGTGACGACTCACCAAAACGTCTTCACAAACGACAGACTAAATATAAACCGTCTTGTAGTCGAAGTAACGAAAGGGAAAGTAATAAAATATATGATGAACACATTGAATTTAAATAAGAATTAAGTTTTAGAAAATATAAGTTTTATTCTATTATTTTTTGGATAAATAATTGAAAATATTAACTTAAAGGTGTAACATGGAAATGCCCCACGTTGGGCGCCAAAAAGCTAACACAAGCAAGCGAACTGAAAAAAGAAACAGTCAACATAATTTCTTCCAAAAATAAAAAAAGCGTTTTTTGCCCTTTAAGTCAAAACTTAATTTAAACAAAATACATTTAAATCACATTTTCTATTTGGTGCCTCCTGCGGGATTAAAGCAATGTGCATTTGCTTCTATGTAGTAATCGCCCTGATTATCCTGCTCGTCATTGTGGTCGCCACGGTGAACTTAACCCGCAAATAAGCCAAAATCGGAGGAATGGAGTTCAAGTTCGACTAATCCAACTAGTGGAATAAACAATGCTGACGCCACTTACCGCCTTCGTTCAACGTTTTTACTTTGTAACTCTCTTTTTTTTCGGTTTTAGATAGCCAGCAAGTTTTTGGTGTTTTATTACTGTAAACATTTGCATACAAGACTGCCCTCTCCGCTCCTCGCTGGTTACTATAATTAACTGAATATTTATTACTGCGGTAGATAAAATGTTATGCGGCTATTATTTTAGTTTTACGGCCAACCAAGAAGCCAACAAGCCAACAGGCAGCCCGGCTAACTGAGCTTAAGCCTCAGACGGAACATGAACATGGCAGGCCACCAAAGTGGCGGCTCGTACATGAATATGCAATCCGAGCCAAAATGCAGTCGGTTACCCCTTTGGCCACGTGGGCCACGCCACCTGAACCACCTCTTAGCTAACTCCTGGCCATCATCCTTGGACAAATCCAGCCGAGATACACCTAAACCATTGAACGGGCGGCGCCAATTAAGCTCACGAAAGGATCGGCTTAAGGTTTTTAGTGCTGATGAACTGGAGACAAGCGAAAAATAGCTAATAAATAAGTCATATTGGTTTTATAAAGAACACCTATATTGTCTCATAAACCCTTTAAAAAATATATTGTGGATTTATCGTTAAGTTCTCACAAATTCATTTCTGATTTTATTTACACAGAAAGATGACGAAAGAATATTTTAATTTATAAGTAATTTCATCTCTATTTATTTGCTTAAATTATCTGTCTAAATATCAATATTTATTGAAATATACAAATATATTTGTTATGCATAGTTTTCAGTTTTTCGAATTTACATCAGTGTTTAAGTTTCTAAAATGTATAACTAATTCTTGTGATAGGTGATTAAATATTGATTAAATCGTTCGGCTTACTGTCACTTTAACTTTATCGCAGCAGCAAAAAATAAATAAATATCTCCAAATTCTCAACGCAACTTCTGGTGTAGAATTCTCCTGCGCAGGAGGTGAAACAATCGCTAATTGTTTTAGGACCTTCGCTTCAGATGCGAAGGCAATAAGGTGTGAAATTCCAGGCCGGGTTTCGACTTTTCGCTCGCGGCAGAAAACTTTTTAGCCAGCCAAGCGAAAATTACGCATACGCCGCGTTGTCTTACATAAAGTGCGGGGGCCAAGTGTATATAAGTCATACGCCACGAAGCCGACGCAGGGTAATTATAAACATTTAATGAAGAGCACTGTTACGAGAGTTATGAGAGCTTCACTAATATACGCAAATCTCGCCCCCATTCAGAAATTGATCTATAATGATTTAATACAGACAGTCGGATTGTTTTGTGGGCCCAATTTTAATTGACTTGTGTCAGAGACGAATAAAAACTACACCAATTTCACACCATGGCTAAAAACTCAATTCGTATTAATTGCGAGTGGATCGCTAGTTTTCGTAATGACAATTTGACACGCTCGGCCAATTTAAACGGGCAGCTATAAAAGCGGCCAACGAAATTAGAACGACCAACAGTTAACATCTGGACATTTGGCAAGATGCATCTGAACCTGAGCTTTTTCATTGGCTTGTTGCTGGTGCTGCTCTGCAGCACTTTCGCGGTGAGTTGCGGCTTCAAATAGTTGGTGAATAATAGCTAAATAATTCCCATTCCTGCAGAGCGCCTTTCCTCAGGGGCCCGGCTGTGGACCCCCACCCAATGGAACTCCTCCTCCTGGTCCTCGTCCATCGGGTCCTCCTCCTGGCTGCTCGCCGCCCTCGACCACGGCCTCCTCCGGCTAAATCAATCCTATTCCCGACTCCAATCCCCATCATAAGGCTTCCCCGGCTCGTCACATTGGAAAATCCTTTGGCTAAGTCTCCTTTTTTTTGTCTTTTATTACGTTCAGTTCTATAGCATATAAATGTACAACGGCTAGATTACATTACATTCAATTCTATAATATATATATATATATATGTTTGTATATTGCCTTGATACGAAATGCTTTTTATTGGTGATTCAGACTGTTATTAAAAGTTGTGGGGCCTACATTATTATATCATATATTCGAGGTAAACACTGATTTGATTTTTATTTGACTTTTGCTTTGCTTTAAGGTCAATTCCACATGGTTAATTGGTTGTATTTATAATTAAAAATATAATTTAAATATTGCATGTCAAGGCCTAAGACATTAAAGTCCGTAATCTAAACTATCAACTGTCATTGATCCTTTTTTACGCAGACCGCTGGAGGGGCTCTCCCCAGTCAACACATCTTCCTTGCACTTAAAAAAGAATGCAAAGGCCACGATCCAAAAATAAATGCCCAAAACTATAAATGGAAATAATAAATATATCATGTTTATAAGTCGCTAGATTTCACATACCAATACCAACGACAGACAAGATCAAATCGATGAGATCTGCTTTCCAAATGACAACTTCGGCCACCAAAAAAGCAGGATACAGGATAGTGTGACACAAGTTCGTGATGAGAAAGAAACATACGAGAGCGGATGCTTTCTGTGGAATAAAACAGGTAAATAAGATAGACTTTTAGCGACTTAAAACTCACCACAAAAGAGGCGACGAACAGCATCAGACAGCCCACGAAGTTCACTATTTCCAAAACCCTATACACAACGACAAGGACTCCTTCGAAGGAATCGCAACAAGGACTAGCCTTCCTCAGAGGAACGGTGAGAAGTTGGAAAAATATCAGTATAAAGGCACTGATCATGCAACCCACTCTAAGCGAAATCACAAAGCAAAACTTTCTCAAGAGGAATCTCATGGTTTTTGATGTGCTTAGTCCTGTTTATTTATATTTGTGACGGATGAAGCACAGATTTCTGAATCCCACTTAAAAATTGTATCAAAATACTTGACATATTTGTATATTAGAGATTAACAGAACAAACAAAGAATATATACCCGAATATACCTTCATGTTTGGCTTATACAGAAATACAGAACTCTACGAATTTGCTAAACTTGTTGATACTAAATTTAAATTCAAGCAAAATCAGAAGGGATAATTTTATATTAAATTAAATTAAAATCTATTTAAGCTTGTAGATTTTATTAACGTATATTTATAAGAATGTCATGGTACCAACATTTTCAGCTGCCAAATATGTTACCATTTTTCTCCTGCATCAATTTTTCTCCTCCGCGTCGCAATTTTCCCGTTGGAACTTCGGTATTCCCCAGTCGATATGCAACTGGCTGATGAGGAATTTCCCTGGCTTTCCGCAATCCATCCGCCCATTTTTCGACCCCGCCCGCTCATCTATTTTGCATATTTTCCGAACTTTTGCTAGTTGCTTGTACAATGAGTAAAAGTAGAATTTCGCAGACTTTTCGAGACTGTAAAATATTACACCACCCCCGAAGCACCCGCCAGTCGATATTAAAAAAGATAAAGTTTTATTAGTTGTGCGGTGAAAATGGGCGTGGAATGAGGGAGGGGGCGGAAAATGTTCAAGGGACGAGGTATAATAAAAGTAATAAAAGAAAATATGCAACACACACAATACACACACACACACACCCAGGCAAATGAAGATGCAGATGAAGTTGAAATGTAAATTTCGACCGAATGGAAAGTTCCGTTTCAATGATTGCAAACGGTAGCGGAACCGACCCCCTCGGAAAATCCCACCCACCAATCCCCTCTGGGAAATGGATGGCAAATGAAACGCAAGTAAATACGATAAATAAATGTTTAAATAAATAAGTAAATAAATATGTGGACAGTCGGCAACAGGAACCGGCCCAAAAAGGCGGCAAAAAGGAGCTGAGGGGGCCAAAAAGTCCAAATGTAATAATTAAATTGCATTTTGCGTCTGCGGCCAAACAAAATGGCGGCCAACGTTCGAATAAGTGAGTATGTGTGCGGTCAAAAATGGGCGGATAGAAGTACAGAATGTGTGATACCCTGTATCCCAAACTACTTTCTTTGAGATACAAGAATAAAATTGAAAAAGGAAATTTTAATCAACCATTGTAATTAAATGTCAGCTTAAACCAATACAGAAAATTATAAAATGTTTTATAGCAAATAGTACAGTTAAGTATAGATAAATCTAGGTTGGTTATAAAAAATTGCTTAATGCTCATTTATATATTTTTTTGGATATTTCTTTGGTAAACCCAAAGTCCATTTAACCCTCAAGTCTCTTTGAAGTGCCCAGTATAAATATTTATATGCCTTGGCCGCAATCATTGGTTTATATAAACACAAACATACATTTATAATTTTTTTTCAGATTTTTTGCCTGTCCTTATTTCTTTCTCCAGATTCCATTCCTCGTAATTTACAATATTATATCCCTCAGTTCCGCTGATTGTGTGCATCAATTGTTGGTTTTCGTGTATGGGAAAAGGCTTAAATTTATTTATCATTCAATTAAATATTTAAAATACCAAAAAATGCTTTCACCGCCAGCCAACTTATTTAAATTTCCACGCCCACACACACACACACACACATACCACACACCTTTAATATTGAAATTGAAATCATAAATAAATGAGAAAATTTGCGTTGGTGAACGTGGGTTTTTCGCGGGCGAAAGAAAATTGGGGGCGGGGGGTAAATTGTGGGCGGTTTGTTTATTTTTGCCGCGTATGCGTAATGTGTGCAAGTGCGATTCGCATTCGCTGTAAATTTTATTGTTATGTGGATATATTTATGCCCACATATGTATTTTTTTGTTTTCCCTGTGTATTTTCACTGCATCGCTGCAATGTTTGTAAAATTAATTGACATTTTATTTGTTAATTAATTGTTATGGCCGCGTGTTGCTGTTGTTGTTTGGTTGGCCAGGCCGAGAGTTCACAGTTTTTGGCCCAGGCCAAAATGGCCAAATGACCAAATGGCAAAATGGCTTTTCATTATTGTTATTACAAATGCCGCGGTCATTATTATTTGCTCGTTAAGCGCACCTCTGCACCGCCCCCTTTGTTCAAATGCAATGCATTTGTAATTTAGTTTTGTAGTTTTAATTGCAAAAATTGTTAATTTTCTGATAATTTATTTATGCATTTATTTATGTTTAGCCATGGAACACAATTGGATAAATTGGAAAAGGTTGCTGAGTGCTTAGGCTCTTAATTCTTGTATATTATGTTATATATTTTGGAGTAGAAAATAAGATTGTGATTTTTGGTACTAATTTAAAATAGTACAAATACCCAATTGATTTATAGAAATTTAAAGTATATTAAATAATAAATTGCTTATATTGTGAACATGTGATGGTCAAGATTAAAGACAATAAATTCCCTTCTTAATACTAATATTAACTAATACTAATATCTAAAAATATAGATTATATTTTATAGCTTCCTCATGGGGAAGTATAAAATGCATATTCTCGCAGTGAAGACCCGTGGAAAAGTGGAATATCCTAGGCAGCAATCCCGGACAGCGAGAGCCATCAATTTTTACAACTTTAAATACCAGCAGGAAGTAACTTAGGAATTCAGGATCAGCTCCCCTAGAGCAACATTTCGAATGGCAATAAGAAAAAAGTCATAACAAAATTTTACGACAACTTTGGCGGCGCTTTCATTTCGCTGTTGGTCCACCAAAGGAGCTGGATTTTTGTTGTTTTTGGGCGATACGAGATACGGGATTCAGGATTCTGGATTCTGGATTCGGTATTCGGATGGATGGACTGATGCAAAATGCAAAACAAAGGGAAAATTACCAGACGACCGAGAAGAAGCGGCGTATTCTAATGGCCGCCATCCCGCTGGTTTCCCTCCTTTTTTTTTTGTTTTTCTTTTTGGTGTTTCTCGGAGGGAGTGGGGCATATAATAATCATCTATATTCATGGATTAGGATTCAATTTTTATGCCACACGCGAGAAGGTGAACAGGAAAAACCTGCGAGAGAACAATGAGGGTTAAATTGAAAATAAAGCGTTACCCAAGAAAAGAAAAGACACAGATATACCGAAAACGCGATGGGGGAGTGGGGGGAAATTATTCAAAAATTTATGCAAGAAAATATTACCAAAGAGCTAATAATTTTCTCCATCCATCGTTCCCGAAAAGGTGGCAAAAGCGCCGCGTGGGGGCCGCCAGGGGGTGGTGGGTGGATTGGGCGGATTGGGTGGTTTGCTGGGTTTTGTATTAATGAATAATATCGCGGCTAAGGCGAAGGCGAAACGCGTTCTTCTTTCTCTTTTTTTTTTTTTTTTTTCTTGTGGCACGCCACAGGGGTTAATAAGTAATCTGCATTTTTTGACATTTATTTATGTCTTCAAATATGTGCGAGGAGTCTCGTCGCTGTTTCTCTTTTTATTTTATCGCGGGGCCAAAGAGCAAGGGAAATCTAACAGCTGTTCAAAGTGTCATTAGAGCGAAATATGCCCGCGATGTGGCCCCATCTTTAATTTTCATCTCTGCGGAAAATGGGAATTATTTTATCCCCAGATATACATATACTTATCCCCGGGCCTCTTCAATCTTTATTGTTTTCATTTGATTAGCGGGGGCATGAAGGTAGAAAGAAAGTTATAAATAAAGCCCATTTGCAGAAACTGGTGTTGTATATAGCACAGCTATTTATGATTATTATAAATTGAACATATTTATTATGTTGAGAAGGAACGAAGAAACTCAGATATTTTAAGTACAATACTGAAGTTATTGATTTAAATATAATATAATCAACGTGTGACTCGAGATTAGTCAATAACTTAAATTCATTTGAAAAGGTCAACACAAAAATTAAGTTCAATTTTTAAATATGAGACTTAAGGTTTTTATTTCAACATTTTTACAAAAAAAACAAATCAACAAAAAAAAAATTTGTTGAAGCTTTTTTATAATTATTAAGAATAATATTACTGAAATATTACTTGAAAAACAACAAATATGTTATACCTGTACCTTAGTTCTTTGCAACATTACATCATAAGTAAATTTGCTTATGTTTAATTACCTTTTCTATATAAATTGAGCTTTAGCACATTTTAGCTAAGGATAATATTTAAGTAAGGGGCGTAATATAGCCAGTGGGCGTGACATCGGACTTTAGTTACCTACGTGTCTGCACAAATCTATATTTACGATTATGGAAGTTTATGGATGTGGCTTCTTCGACGTTTTAGTGTCATTCAGCGTTGGGCTGTAAAGAGCGTATAAAAAAGTGGGAGGGGGTGGTGTTTAGGGGGTGGCGATGGGTGGGGGGTGGAGCAGTCCTAATGACAAATGCCCATATGAAATGGTCACACACGCAAGGACCTTCTCCTTCCGCTCTTTTTGCTTTCGCCGCTCTGGTGAAAGTGAAATTGTCATAAAAAGTGAAAGGCAACTGGGGAACTTTACGGGTGTGAGGGGGGGTTGGGGTTTTGTGGGTGGCTTCCACATGTCAAGGTAATTTGGGCGCACTTTTTGCACTCGCCTCGTTTTATGGGCGAATTCAAATAGTTCTTTGGGCCACGCCCACACGCACACACATATGTAATTACTTAGTTTATTATATTGCAAGTATTAAAGTGGACCAGCCAACTACGCCTCTGTAAGCCTCTTTTTTTTCTTTTTTTTTTTGGTTACCCCTCCGCTCGCAATGCCCTTCCCCCTTTTATAGTTTGGCAAATCGTAAAAACTTTTACAACATTTACATGCAAGGCGAAATTTGCGGCGGGGGGAAATGGCGTTGAGGGGCGGCAGGGTTGCCCTGTGAGCCAGAGTTGTCGCCGCTAAAGTTTGCAACTACAGTTGCGCTCTCTATTTGTCTTTTGCCCCCAGTTTTATGCCACTACCCTCGCACCCCCCTCT